TCTTCTATTTCCTCCAGCTATGTCTCCGTGGCCTCCCACAGTCCTACCGGTGCGAGAAATGCCATACCATCAATTCCAGCCACTTTCATTGGTACTTTCACATGAGCGTCTTTAAGCCATAATTCATCCTCGTCGGGATCCAAAACTGCGCGGAACTCTCTTATAAAGTTCGTGCCTACGTAGCAGTCGTCTGTGAGCAGTGGCGTAATGGCGACTCTGATTTCCTTCGTGATTCCTCCTACTTTAAAGGGGAACATCACGTGACCAATTATAGGACATGGGCGCCCATCAGCGAGACTTGCATCGCTCCCTCTGGTTAAATTCAATCCGAGTCCCATCTCCGATGCCAATCTCATCCCTAACTGATCCATGACCGTGGATGAGGCGCCGGTATCATAGAGTGCTCTAATTTTAAAGTCACCTATATCTACCCGCAACCACCACCTGGTCTCATACTCTGGATCATGTCCATGAGTTGTATCTTTTCCTCCATTCGTCGTGCTTTAGGGCGGCCTTTTCCCTTCCGCTGCTGCTACGACGATGGGCTGGCTTCTACTCGTGGATCCCTTCGGCAGAGGAGCTTTTTGTGTGGAGAGGCTCTCCCTGGAGTCTTCCCCCTCCTCCACAACCTGTATGTGGCCATCTGGTCCTTTCAGGATAACCACTCCCCTATTCTGCCGAGGGCAGACATCGGGTTCAATTGCCTTCCGCTCTAATATACTGCTAGGTCCTGGGCTCTCTTGATGCCCTTCCAGGACTTGTTTGGATCCCTGGGTCGCCGACAACTTGCTGTTTCCCATCGGCGACCCGCAGCGAGAGGTCGAATTTACTGGAGGCGCGAAGATGACCTCTTCTCTTCGCTCTCCTTGCCGTTTCCCTTGTTTCAATCTGGGCAAAACTTACGACTAAAACCCAGTTTGCCACAAGCGGAACACTGGAGAGGCTTAGTAAAGTCTATCTTCCGCCTCTGCCATTCTCGCCGCTCGCCAGGAGACCTGGAAGAAGGAGAATTTTTCCTTCCTCCAAGCCATCGGCTCTTACGCTGTTCTGGAGGGCTGCCTTGCTTCTCATTGGTCAACTTGCGCAACATCCGCTCGATGCCCTCCTGACGCTCTTCCATCTTCTTATCAGAAGTGGAAGCTTGCGTAGCCGATACCGATGCTTGTACGGTAGGCCTCCTGGCAGGGTTCTCTACGCCCTGTCCGCGCTGCGTATCTCCCTCCTTCTTCGCACGTGCCTTCCCTTTGCTGGCCATTGCAGCGGTTTGGGATTTATTACCAGCCGTTCGTTTGCTCGGCTGGTAGGCGTGCTGAGGAAAGATCGTTGAGTTGGGGTCGGCGAACACACGTGGACGACGACCGTAAGTTAAGGTGTTTTGTACCTCGGTCGCCCTCCTGTTGAATTGGCGTACCGACTTCATCTCACTCCGACACAGCTGAATTTGGATGTTAGGAAGGAGATTTGCATGGAGTAGGTCTAATAACCTCTCCAACGGCATTGGTGGTTCTAGTCTATTAACAAGAGCCACCAGGTTGGATACATGGCACTAATTCGTCCTCACCCTGGAATCGGTTCTGGGCTTCCTGCAACAGCCTTTGTTGCTGTTGCGTACTTGTGCCGAACCAATCCCGGTCGTTAGCGACGAATTCTGCATAACTGAGCCATTGGTACTTATTGTTATCGTACCAGGTCCTCGCGTTACCTTCTAGAATCTCTGATACGGAAAAAAGCACTTCGTAATCAGTTAGTACTGCGCCCACGCTCAGATCTTCCAACCTTGACAGAAACGTATCTACGCTCTGTGCTCTACTGCCCGCAAACCTCGATTTCCATCCGCGGACGATTTTCCCAACATCTCGGGTTGTGGAGAGCCCTGAGGATAATTGAGGACCGGTGCCAGAGGATCCGCTTCGACTCCTCTGTCGAACAGGTGCGGATCTCCCGTACTCTTCCGGAATCGTTTCACCTTCTCTCATTTGGAGGGCTTCCGGTGAGGTGCCGTCCCTTCTCCTGGGTACTGGTCTTGGAGGAGCCGGTGTGCTTCCCGAGATCCCAAAATCGTAGTGACAGGTGAATGTGTCCTGAAAGTCCACATTACGTCTGGAGCGCGGTTGAACCGAGTTGCGCTGAGAAGAACGGCTTGTATTGGCCATTTCCTGCATTCCGTATTCCATCTCTCGTATTCGTTGGCGCATGACCTGTACCTCGCGCTCCGCACATACCTGTATTCCCTGCAGAGTCTGAAGGATTTCTAGGATTCGACCTACCAGCTTGCGGTTGCGGTTGACGCCCTCCTTCAGGTACTCCATTTCCCGGAAGGCTTCACTAAAGCATAATTCTCCCTGAGGTTCCCTCCGGGTGCAGGATTCCTGCGACCTGAGATCCGGATGGCTCCCCCTCCTCTCCCCCTCCTCCTGCTCCTGGGTGCGGAGGGTCTTCTGGATGAGCTCATCCTCTTCTTAGCGGCTGGTTTCACCCTCAGAGTCCTCATCCGAGCAGGCGAATGTTCTTGACATATCTGAGGGGATCGTCGCTGTTCTCATCTGCGCTGAGGTTTTCTAACTCGTCACAGACTGTGTCGAGCCACGCTTGTCCGGTGCGCCTCCTACGCCCCGCCACCTCTTTACTGCGCGCGGTCTCTTCAAAATCTGTGACGGTGTACTCTTCTGGCAACCATGTCCCAAGCCTAGCCGCCTGCTGGATGACACTTCCATCCTTGCACAGCTCTAGATCCGCCAAGTAGCGTTTGCGCTGTGCGGAGGTTAGCTCTAATGCCCAGTTATCGATTTGAGCAGACAACAGAGCCATCTTGCCTTCGCACGGGTGTAGGATGCGGTCGAGGTTTGAAATTATCGACCTAATCGACCACTACCGCTTCCTATCACCCAAGGTATGAGCGGGGTATACACTATTTAGTGTAACTACCCTTAATGCCTCCTTTTTATAAGGCACAAACTAGCGAGATTATGCGCGCGTGCAGTCTCCGCAAACTACCTATTAATATTATAAAAATATCCTACCTAAGGTCGGAGCCTGCTGTTTGCTTGCTCCGCCTGGCTAATATTTTCTGGACTGCACGCTTGAGTCGCACTCTCTGCTTTTATCGTCGATCAGGTGCTTCCAATTTCCTTTATCCACCAAACTATGGTTGAAATAGGTTAATACCTGATTACCCCGAATGACCTGAAATCACTTCGACCTGCTAATAAATACCGCTTTTCGCCCTTTTTACAATCAACTTAACAATTCATAAGCAAAAGGTTCGAAGTGACTTCGTTTTTTCCCCAGCAGAGGGCGTACCGCTCATGATGTTGCGCTACCACCCCCTCAAACCTTCCTAAGAGCTCGCGCAATCGTCTCTCTCTCTCTCGTGCGTCAATTACCTTCGACGCACAATCCTATTCGCACTAAACGGGTCTTAATATCAGTTGGGCGCCATGTAACGGGGGAGGTTATCTGAAAAAAAAGAAAATTTATTTAAGAACAAACTCCCACAATGCAGAGCATACCGCCGCTCCGTTAAACACGTATGATAGTAGCCTTAACGTCAGATGATTTATCCTAGTTGTCTTCTATCAAACGGAGTTGAACTCACCTTAAGTCACGTGTCTTGTGACACTCGATGAGTTTTAAGTGTAAGCGACTTTATTCCTAATCTTCTTAATCCCCTAGATGTAATTGAATTAAAGCCTAAGCCTTTTTCAATTACTTAAGCTACTAGGAAAATTAAATGACGAAGACGGCGAATAAATTTAACAGACTTTAATTAATAAATATCACTACAGTCTTTGTAGGGCCGAAAGACTAACGCACGTGAATAGAATTTTACAATTAACTATGTTCGGTGAGAAAGAGAGAGAAAGAGAGAGAAAGAGAGAGAGAGAGAGAGAGAAGATTCGAATTCTACCGCGAACTAACGCGCTACGCGAATACAAAAAATAACGCTAACACGATTAGACAAAATACCGAATGTATTTTGTATCGCATATAATAACGGAACGTGCACCTATCATGCTGTACAATTACGGTGATCAGCCGTAATTGTTGATGCAAAATTATCAACTGCCGCTGCCCCTCGATTAATCAGCTGCGCTGCCTTGTACTGCCTCCAATTAGCTACGATACTTCTTCTGCACTGCTGCTGCTTTTTACCTCGGGAATACCGTTGCACTCACGGAGGAAATTGTCCCAGAAAACTAATTATTCGGAGAAAACAAAGTGCGAGACAAATCGGCGGTAAATTCACGTTCACAGCTGAGGCGTAACTGCTTATTCCAAAGATCGCGCGCCCCCTCTCTCTCTTAATTGTTAGAACTAACGCGCGAGAAGCAGAATTGCGAACGGTTTGATTAATTAAATCGACTGCCGTTGCAATCTATGTTTTATTACTTATTGAAAACCTTCCATAAATTCTACTATCGATTTATTTGGTAATTTAGTATTTACCAAATAATGAATAAAATTAGTTCAGAAAAAAATAAAGATGGAATATTTAGGTAAGTCCTGTTTTTACATAGATATAACTCATATAAGTCGGTAATGAAATATATATTCTAAATAAAATAAGTTCGGTTAAGTGATTCTAATTTAACATACTAAATCCTATTAATGGTACGCTAATATTAGGAAAATGAGTAGGCCACTTGCATAATTTCGAAACATTGGCAGTCAATGAAGATGAAAATTTTATTAGCTAGAATGACATCAGATTATCACAATAAGTGTTATAGTTTTCTCCTTATAATGAAAAGTTCGGAAATTACGGTTACGACAGCAATTTCACAATACAGTTGAACATTTATTAATTATTAAAAATAATTAATATTATTAATGATTAATTAATAAAAATAATTAATATTATTAATTATTAATTATTAGAAATAATTAATAAATGTCATTAAAAATTGCAATAGTTAATATTTACTGCACAAATACGAAATTTGAATAAAAAGATCAATATTTGAAACTTGGATATAAATGAATTTTTTATTTAATAATAGGAACTACGGAATAGTATAAATGACAATTTACAGTGAATATGGAACAAAATCATCAAGAAATATTTATCGTGTGCTAATAATTCTGGCTTTAGCTATTCAGACTTGTAAAACATGGCATTACTTAAAGAATGGATTCCATCCTGACCTGCGAAGTAAACAGCTTTTGAGTGATGAACAGAAAATACGCTATTCAACTATTGGTACCTTTGGAAATAAGAACAAGATGCCAAACATAGTTTTAATACTGACTGATGACCAAGATGTTGAGCTTGGTAAGTAAATTTCTTCAAATTATATTTATACAGTATCGGTCATAAATTTCTGAAAATTTTGTGGAAGAAATGCTACATTTAGAAAAGCCAAAAATAAAAATGGTAAATTTATTTAGAGGAGAAATAGTAACATCCCTTAAAACCCGAAAATTCTTGAAGTCATTTTTTTATATTTTCTAGACTATTTTATAGTGTCAGTTTTCCAAACCAGCGTAATTTTCTACCTAGTTCTTTGGTTGGCATCTGTTTGTTCTACTTGTCAGTTTACCTCTATCTTTGTTATCATTAGCTGGTCGAGAGTGCGCGTGCCGGTATTATCCGTATTATACGTATTGTTATCATCTATCCTTTGTCCTCTTATGCTTATTAATCCTATCAGTCGCCCCTACTAACATATCGGTATCCCTTCTCATGCCTGTTCAATCGGTTATCTCGCTCGCACGCACGCTTTCTTTTAGCTCCCAGTCGTGCCACTCGTACCTTCCTCGGTTGACTCATTCGCACTTATGTTCTCGCTCCCCTCGCTCTCTGGCTCACGTTTGTTGCCGGTCGCGTCACGACATAGCCGCCGCTTGGCTTCCCCATCAACGTCGCGTCCCGTCGCCGCTCTTCGTGATTGCCTCTCGGTGCTCCCAAGATCGATCGGGGTGTGTGTATGTGTGTCGAGCTGTCTTTCTAGGTGCATTGATTGGGTGGCATTCAGTCTTAGTGCGTGTGCGGTACTCCTCCCTGCGCAGCCAGCTATCAGGTTCAGCTGATTTCCGCTGCAATCTTTTTCGTCGCCTAGTTTTCTAGAGAAGCATCGGTCCGGGGTCCTGTGTGTCAGAGTGTGTGTGCGGGGGTGTAAGGATGATGCGCATCGATCAGGCGGGTCCTGAGAGTTTCTATTTTCGTGAGGTCTTGAAACGATAATTACGCGTAGATATGTGAGATATAGCGCCATCTGCTGATCGTTTGCATCCTTTTGTCAGGAGAGGATTTTCAATATGTCGTGCGAATTTTGTAAGACTGGACTTTTCTTATAATGAAGCATCATTACAAGGTGCTGCATTTATTTCAACATTTGAAGCTCGTATATATATCGTGAGACTCTTGTCCATTTGTTATTTGTGTTTGTATACTTGTTGTATTGGTTCTATTTTATTTATTCTTGACTTTATTAAGTTAGTTGCCAATTATTTTATAGTACTGGCAAATATGGAATAATTGCTTGGGGTGGAGTATATGGAAATAATTTAACACTAACACAAAGAATACCGAACAAAGTAATAAAAGTCATAAATTGTTTTCCAAATGCAGAAAATATTCTTAAAGCAATTCACAATAAAGCAATTATTCTAACTAGAGGCAATAAAGTACCATTATGATAGCCTGCATAAATTTTACATGTAAACGAAAAGTATAACGAGAAATATGCTTATACATGTACCTAAATTTAGCAAAAGAATTAGCGATAAAAATAGCTATCTAAAAGCAATAAAAATTTGCAATAAATTACCTACAGAGCTGAAGGATATAAAGGGGAGCAAAGAAAATATAAAAAAACGAATCGAAAAAGCTCGTATTAGTACAAAGAAAAAAATATGGATGATAAAATTAACTGGAAAGACTTGAATCGAACGCTGGAAATACAGGGTGTCCCATTTTGATGGAACCACCCCGAAATTTTCGACGGTTGGCGTTGTTCAAAAAAATTGTTCAGACAACAGTTGTTTCGGATAATGGGAGCAACCTTTCTCTGAAATCCGATTTGCCCTTGAGATTTATTTTCAAGGTCATTTGAAGGTCAAAGTCATTTTTTGAATAGGAACCCATATTTTTGATACCGGATTCGGAAAGAGCGGAAAATTCTACGTTCAGATAACGTATTATGTGTGGGGTGTGGTTAAACCCCCACCCCCCAAATTTATAATTTTCTTCATCTATGCACAGGAATGATCGGGCAAGGGTAAGGTTAATTGTAATAACCCAATAACTCCAATACCCAATAACTCGATAACCCCAATAACCCCAATAACTCAATAACCAAGAGATATTTTGAATAAGGACCCCCATTTTTTATCCCGGATTCGAAAAGAGCGGGAAATTCTCTGTTTCGATAAAGTATTATGTTGGGGGAGCGGTACACCCCCCCATCCCACCGGGGCAAGAGTGAGGTTAATAAGGTATTGATTACCCAGCCAGTGAAGGCAAGGTATTGATTACCCAGCTAATGGAGGTAAGGTATTGATTACCCAGCCAATGATGGCAAAATGGGAATGCTCAGCCGATCAAGACAAGACGTTGACTACAGATAGAGTTATGGTCAAGATTGTAACACAAACATTTATCTCATAAGATGTTCAAAAATACCCCCATTCAAATTTATGCAGTGTTGAATTCTACGTTCAAAATTTTCAACGTGACGCGGAATAGCTTTGCAAGCTTGTATGATGCATTGCATCATATCTTGCCATGTTGTTGGTTGCTGTGCATAAACAACATTTTTCAAATAGCCCCATAAAAAGAACTCTGGACTTGTCAGATCTGGTGATCTTGGACACCACTCAGTAATGTCACTACCAATGCCTATCCATCGTCTTCGGTATCGTTGGTTCAAGAAGTGACGAACCATTAGTGAGCGATGACACGGTGCACCATCCTGTTGAAGCCATAATCGTCTTCTGGTTTCCAAGTCCACATCTTCTAATAGTTCTGGTAATTCATTCTGTAGGAAATCAAGATATGCTGCTCCGTTGACATTCCCATCGAAAAAATAAGGTCCTATCAGATAACCATTTATTATACCGCACCAAACTACGAGGCTCCATCTATGCTGATTATCAACATGAGGGACCCAATGAGGGTTCTGGATAGACCAATAATGACTATTATGGCCATTGAGTTGCCCATTACCATGAAATGTAGCTTCGTCCGAAAACATGACGTATCTGAAAAATTCAGGATCTTCACGAATCCTTGCTTGTGCCAAATTGCAGAATTCGAGTCTGCGGCGGAGATCATCTGGCATCAAAGCTTGAGTCAAAGTTATGTGATATGGATTAAATCTGTACAGCCGCAAAAATCTAGCGGCTGTTGATCTTGGGATTCCAGTACGCCTCTGAATTTCACGCAACGAGATATGGTGATCCAAATCAACCATTGCTAAAATCAACGAGAATTCGTGGATCATCGTTGTTCGGCATCATAATGCGACGACGATTTCGGTGTATTCGGGGTCGACGTCTCTCTCTTTGCTCGATGATTCTCACGTGGTTCGTGTAGTGAAGCCTCCCTGGGTAATTTTGGCGGTAATACCTTGCCGTAGCACGATATCGGCCTTGACATGCCCCGACAGACAACAGAGTATCAACAATTTCGTTTCTCGAATAATCCGTCATATTCCCTCCTTTTAAGTCGACTAAGAAAATTACACTTGAACTATCCTGAGAAGGACTGTTCGCGAATCACTATTGTCATAAACAATACTAGAAAAGTATTATTAAACAATTTAGTTGAAACTTTGTAGGCTTGTCCAGAATCACACCAGAAAAAAGAATGGAAATAACATGTTATCCCACAAAATGGAAAATGACACTTCTCATGAAGGCTTTGAATACATGAAGTCGACTTTGAAAATCAACCTGAAGTTTAAGCTCAAGGTCACTGTTGTTTAACCCTAATTTTTTTGGGATATTGGGGTTATTGAATTATTGGGGTTATCGGGTTATTTGATTATTGGGTTATTTGGGTTATCGAGTTATTGGGTTATTACAATTAACCTTACTCTTGTCCGATCATCCCTGTGCATAGATGAAGAAAATCATAAATTTGACCACTACATGACCTTTGGCGAGGGGGGGGGGGGTTTAACCGCATCCCACACATAATACGTTATCTGAACGTAGAATTTTCCGCTCTTTCCGAATCCGGGATCAAAAATATGGGATCCTATTCAAAAAATGACTTTGACTTTCAAATGACCTTGAAAATGAATCTCAAGGTTAAATGGGATTTCAGAGAAAGGTTGCTCCCATTATCCGAAACAACTATTGTCTGAACAATTTTTTTGTACAACGCCAACCGTCGAAAATTTCGGGGTGGTTCCTTTAAAATGGGACACCCTGTATTTCCAGCGTTCGATTCAAGTTTTTGCAGTTAATTTTATCATCCATATTTTTTTCTTTGTACTATTACGAGCTTTTTCGATTCGTTTTTTTATATTTTCTTTGCTCCCCTTTATATCCTTCAGCTCTGTAGGTAATTTATTGCAAATTTTTATTGCTTTTAGATAGCAGTTTTTATCGCTAATTCTTTTGCTAAATTTAGGTACATGTATAAGCATATTTCTCGTTATACTTTCCGTTTTCATGTAAAATTTATGCAGGCTATCATAATGATACTTTATTGCCTCTAGTTAGAATAATTGCTTTATTGTGAATTGCTTTAAGAATATTTTCTGCATTTGGAAAACGATTTATGACTTTTATTACTTTGTTTGGTATTCTTTGTGTTAGTGTTAAATTATTTCCATATATTCCACCCCAAGTAATTATTCCATATTTGCCAGTACTATAAAATAAAGCATAATATATTATCGTTTGTGTCTTCGAATTCATATATTTTTCAATTTTGCAAATATAAAAATAAATGCTTTGTTTTGTTTATTAAATATTTAATATGCTTTTCCCATTTCGTACTATAATACCTTGATATTTGTTATCGGTTACTTGAATTAATATATTATGATTTATTTTAATATATATTGTTTCGGGAACGCTATCACAGTAGTTTCCAACAGTCAAATATACAGTGTTATATTATATTTAGTGATAGTTTGTTTAATCAATCAGTCAGCTACTTTTTGTAAATTCTTATTGACTGCATGAACTGCTTTAGTTCACGCATTATCTCTTGTAATGATGACAGTGTCATCAGCATATGATAAATTTCTATGTCCAGCATGTCTTTCAATAGATCATTGACATTTAGACTGAAAAATAATGGTCCTAATATCCTTG